CCCCCGCCCCCCCCCGCCCCCCCCCGTCTTTGTGTAACCAGACCCTAGCTGCACCCTGCCCTTGCGTCACTAGCCCCCCAGCCCTCACTCAACCAACCAGAATCGGCCAAATCAGTGGTCAGAGTGTGCACCCACCCCCGACCCCAAGCCCTATAAATTCTTTGTTCCCTTGGGACTCGGGGCTCTCTCTTGCATCCAGTAATGGAAGCAGGGGGGGGGACCAAGTCCCGGGCTTGAATAAATGACTCTATGCTTTTGCATCGGACTCGGCTCCCTAGTGGTCTGTCTTGGGGGATCTTGAAATCTGGGCATAACACATTCAACAAGTTCTCAGTAAGATTTACTCTGTGTTGGATTAGTGTTGGCTTAATGCCCTCAAGAAGCTTATGTTTTAGGTATGGTGTCAACAAATAGAGTAGACAATTATAGAACAGAATGGTAAGTGTGGTTGTCAAGGGAACAGCAAGGGGCTATAGGAGAATGGGCCTCTTATCAGCCAGGTCTAGGAAGCAGATGGCCATCTCATGTCAACGTGTTTTGAGGAGGCTCTATTCAAAAAGGCGGGCAGGGAATAGGGCAACCAGAAGGGGTGGTGAAGTACCCTGGGGCTTGGAACATTTGGGCTTTATTACCTCCCTCATCCTCAAAGGGAGAAAAAAGAAGGTGGCTTCAGGAATCCAGAGTTGGGGAATAGCAGAGAGCACGGAGCTTGGACTGACAGCCTGGACTTGTGAGCTTCAGCTGAGGGGTGCGGCAAGAGCAACAACAGCAAAAGATTTTTAAAGAATAAGTGAAATATATAAAATGATGTTAGGTGTTAAGGAACAACATGGCAGGGAAGGTGGTTAGGGAGGACAGGAAAGGGAGGGATTAGCATTTGTAAATAGGATGGTCAGGGAGGGCTGCACAGAGAAGGTGGCACTAGAGCAAAGACTTAAACAAGTTCTATCTCTAGGTGACTCTTCCACTGACCCCTTCAGTTAGTCCCCACCTCTCCTCCTCCTCCTTGTCCTAAGGTCAGGCCCTGAATTAGAGATTTCCCTGGAGGTTCTTCTCTCACTATGGTCTCCCCAGGACAGGAGGTGTTCCATCCTTCCTTTTGTCATCCAATAACAACAGAAGCTGCCACTTTCTAATGACCTCGTGGCCAGCTGCCTTCCCTAACAGGGCTCCTGCCCCATCCGCACTCCAGAGAAGGGGAAGTAGAGGAAATCTTAAGTTTCTGAATAACTGAAAAGGGGAACAAAGGTTAAGCATATACTTGGTCTCCAAAAGGCACAGGAACCAAAAGGTAGAAGTCAATAGGAGGCAGTTGTCAGTTGTCACAATGTGAGAGTATCCTAACAATCAGAACCTTAGCTGCCGAAAAAAACCATCATGGAGAAACAAGATGGCGGCATAGGTTAATGCCGGAGTTTGCTGCTTTGAACAACTACTTCAAAAGTGAAACCAAAAAACGGAACAGACATCACCCAGAACCACAGGAACGCTGGCTGAGTGGAAGTCCTACAACTAGGAGGAAAGAGAAACGCATACGGACACTCAGAGGAGGCGCAGTGCTGAAGTCAAATTCTGAGGTGCGGAGTGCGCGGAGCGGGCTGGCGGCGGAGGGCGCTGTTGGCGTTTTCAATCGGGAGGGAGTCGCAGACTCTGAGCTCCAGATCCGGGCGAGTCTTTAGGGACCCAGACTCAAACGGGAGAAGCGGGACTGTCTGGCTTCGGTCAGAGCGAGTGCAGCTTTCTCTCTGAGCTTTGCAGCAGGTGCTGGGACTCAGAGAGGCAGAGCCCCTGGGGACAGGACTGAGAGCCGCCATAACTGCTCTCTCCGGCCCACCCTGTTGATCCTGTGCGACCCGCCCCGCCCAAGCCCTGCACACAGGCATTTGCCGGATAGCCTCAGGCAAAGGCTAGATTAGCACCTCCCTAGAAGACAGAAGTTCTCTCACTGCTGACACAACTGATTCTCATAGCCACTTGGCCTGGAGGTCAAACCCTCCCTGGAATTAGCTACAACAATCAAGGTTTAACTATAAGACTGCGAACAAAGACCACTAGGGGGTGCACCAAGGAAGCATAACAAAATGCGGAGACAAAGAAACAGGACAAAATTGTCAATGGAAGATATAGAGTTCAGAACCACACTTTTAAGGTCTCTCAAGAACTGTTTAGAAGCCGCCGATAAACTTAATGAGATCTACAAGAAAACTAATGAGACCCTCGATCTTATATTGGGGAACCAACTAGAAATTAAGCATACACGGACTGAAATAATGAATATTATACAGACTCCCGACAGCAGACCAGAGGAGCGCAAGAATCAAGTCAATGATTTGAAATGCGAGGAAGCAAAAAACACCCAACCGGAAAAGCAAAATGAAAAAAGAATCCAAAAATGCGAGGATAGTGTAAGGAGCCTCTGGGACAGCTTCAAGCGTACCAACATCAGAATTATAGGGGTGCCAGAAGATGAGAGAGAGCAAGATATTGAAAACCTATTTGAAGAAATAATGACAGAAAACTTCCCCCACCTGGTGAAAGAAATGGACTTACAGGTCCAAGAAGCGCGGAGAACCCCAAACAAAAGGAATCCAAAGAGGACCACACCAAGACACATCATCATTAAAATGCCAAGAGCAAAGATAAAGAGAGAATCTTAAAAACAGCAAGAGAAAGAAACTCAGTTACCTACAAGGGAATACCCATACGACTGTCAGCTGATTTCTCAACAGAAACTTTGCAGGCCAGAAGGGAATGGCAAGAAATATTCAAAGTGATGAATACCAAGAACCTACAACCAAGATTACTTTATCCAGCAAAGCTATCATTCAGAATTGAAGGTCAGATAAAGACCTTCACAGATAAGGAAAAGCTAAAGGAGTTCATCACCACCAAACCAGGATTATATGAAATGCTGAAAGGTATCCTTTAAGAAGAGGAAGAGGAAGAGGAAGAAACAGGTAAAGATACAAATTATGAACAACAAATATGCATCTATCAACAAGTGAATCTAAGAATCAAGTGAATAAATAATCTGATGAACAGAATGAACTGGTGATTATAATAGAATCAGGGAATGGACTGACTATTCCTGGGGGGGAAAGGGGTGTGGGAGATGCGGGAAGAGACTGGACAAAAATCGTGCACCTATGGATGAGGACAGTGGGTGGGGAGTGAGGGCGGAGGGTGGGGCGGGAACTGGGAGGAGGGGAGTTATGGGGGGGAAAAAAGAGGAACAAATGTAATAATCTGAACAATAAAGATTTAATTAAAAAAAAAAACCATAAAAAAAAAAAAGAAGAACCTTAGCTGCCTCAGAGGCAATGAGATTCTTGTCACTAGAATCTCATTGTCACTAAAAGAAACTGCACAACTTCATGTCAAAATGGAATATAGGGGATTCTGAAGGAAAAGATTTGACTAGATAACTCCAAGTTCTTCCAACGTAGGTTCTACCGCTAAATAATTCTAGAACTCTCAAGTTGTGTGAGTCTAAGACTATGATTTTAAAATTTTATTAGAACAAGAGATAATCCCTATATTAAAAGAATTCACGACCGAGTAGATGAGGTGGGGAAACAGTTACTTTTGATAAACTGTAATAAATATTCCTATCGAGTACACTGAAGGCCCGAGCATGACGTGCGAAGGAACCCTAACTGAGCCAGGGCGGTTTCCTCAAGGCTGTTCTCAAGAACCACTTTGCATCAGAATCATCAGAATCGTTTGGGCATCTTAAAAAAAAAACAAAACATTCTGGCTACATTCCAAATCTCCTGAATCAGAGCCTCTGGAGTGGAACCCAAAGTCTATTTTCCTAAAATAAGCTCCAAGGTGAGCTTCAGGCAGAATGAAATTTGAGACCAGGCTCAGGATGACGTCCCGCCCGGGCGGTGATTTCCAGACTGAGAAAACGTTGTAGCTGGGTCAAAATACACACCCGCAGAGAGAAAACGGAAGTAACATGTTTTTGATGAAGATTCATACTTTTGTACCATACTCCCTCCGTGTGGTAGGTCTTTCTAAAGTGATAGCACTTCCTAGATGTAATCTGTGATTCTGTGATTGAGGGCATGTGCCTTAGATGTCCTGGAACAGGTCTTTGTTTGCAAGGGAGCAAGAGCTGGCCTGTTTGTTATTAATTATTCCAAGGCCAACGGCTGATAAAGAGGAATCTGATAAGGAAGGACTCCCACAGCGTCCCTGGGAGGCTGTTCCGAGCCGCTGTCCACTCCCCTGCCCTTAGCCCCCTGGCCATTTTCCAGGGGTCCCTACCTGCTTCTCTCTTCTGGAGCCTGCAGAGTCACCAGACAGTAGTTTGAGTGAGCCTGGTGGCCAGAAAGTGAAGGGTGTTCTGAGTCAGGGACCAGTGAGGTGTGTGGCTGGACACCAGTCGTCTGGACGGTGAAGAGCCACTGAGTCTTGGAGGAAGGCGACATCCGTTGGGGTGAAGGAGAGAGAGTGGTGTCCTGGCTTCTAAGTGCTGCCACAACTCCCTTGGTGAACCTGGACCATTGTCCCCCAAGCTGGGCCTCCATGTTAGAATCAGATTTCTGCAGTGACCGTTCGGCTTTAATACTTTGGATTCTAACATCTCATCTGACCTTAACCATCACCCTGTGAAGGATGCATGCAGGATCGTAGCTATTTTATGGCGAGGAAGCCGAGAAAGACCCCGTGAGAAACAGTGCCTTGCCCACCCCCACGCAGCCACTAGGAGCAAAGCCTGCTAGCCCCAGCACCCGATGTTCAGCTTCGTTTTCTGGAGACTGGCCTCGGGCTGGGCAAGCTCAGCACAGCGAGAGACTTTCTGCCGCGGGTCCAGGAAGCAGGCGCTGCAGGGGACGGAAGGGTAGGCGCCCACAGTGGGGTGAGGCCGTGCAGCTGGGCGGAGGCGCGCGAAGCCAGCGCACGGAGAAGGGGGTGTGCTGGGGGGCGGGCGGGGCCGGAGGAGCGGACGCCCTAAGGAAGGAAAAAGGGAGCCAAGTGCGGGTCGGTAAGCAAAGCTGAGTGGGCTCGGGGCGGTGTTGGGCAGGGGCTGCACACGCAAGGGCCATCGGAACGAAGGGTGCAGGGCGGCGCACCCTCCAGCACAGGTCAGGGCGCGGTGTCCCACAAGCCGACCCACGCCCCTCGGAGCCTTCGGGAGAGACAGGTAAAGCGCACCCGCAGGGCTGGGAAGGCTGAGCGGGCGCCGGGAGTAGAAGTGAGGTATCTTCTCCTCTCTTGAGACCACGGAGCCGGAGGAGGGGTCGGCTCAGAAACGAGGCTGATCCGCCCCAGGACGGCGCAGCGGGGTTCCCGGGCGCATGTGGGAGTGCGGAGCCGGGCTCCTGGCCCTCCCCGCCGAGAAACCGGGGGGACCTGTGGAGGGCGGCACGAAAGCTTCTTCCACATCCACGGATGTGCAGGCGAACACCTGCGGGTCAGCCCCGAGTGCCCACGCGGAGATGGCACTCCGGGACCCAGAGTGGCCTTCTTGCTTGGCCGGAGCCGCTTGCTCTGCAAGAGGTGACGTGCCTAATGGCTACTCCCTATATGCACCCCAGTCCTGGGAAATGCCTGGGGACTCCCCAAAGCTCTTCTGCTGCTAATAACGTAGGTCTAGGCTGGGAGTCGGGAGCCAAGTTGTAGTTCTGTGCCCCTCGCCCACCTGCTCTATGCCTTGTGCTTTCCTTTCCTGGATCCCCACCCGTAAAACGGACCTCGGGGTCAGGCTGCCCGTGCGCTCCATGTGACATGAGGGGAGAGGGGTCTGGACCTAGGAGTCTCTTTTCTAGAAGGTAGATGATGAGTTCAGACCCTGTGTGATGGCCCATGGAGCGTATCTCCTTCTCACAACCTATTCTCTACCAATTTTTTAAAAATATATGTTATTGATTTTTTACAGAGAGGAAGGGAGAGGGATAGAGAGTTAAAAACATCGATGAGAGACATACATCGATCAGCTGCCTCCTGCACACTCCTTACTGGGGATGTGCCCGCAACCAAGGTACATGCCCTTGACCGGAATCGAACCTGGGACCCTTGAGTCCGCAGGCTGACGCTCTAACCACTGAGCAAACCGGCTAGGGCCCACACCAATGTGGAAACTGAGAATTTTTATATGTGGGGTGATGACTTGCCCAGGGTCACACCAGGGAAGAGAAAGAACCCAAGTCTCCTCACTCCTAGGCCAGGGCTTTCTCCACTTCACCTACACAGGTGCCTTGTAAATGTGTAAGCTCCTCCCGGCTCTGTCTCCAAATGGAAGAGACCTGATGCTGGCACCATGGAAACTGCTTGTGCATTTGCTTGACTCCTTGAGATAATAACCAGCAGCCTTCTTCATCCTCACTCACTCCACACTTCTCAGAACACATTTCTCTCCACACTGAATGGGTAGATGCTCACAATACCCCCTAAGAGTTAGGCAACACAAGAAACCCCATCTTACCGATGGGGACACTGAGGCCCAGAGTGGAGACGTGACCTAACCAGGACACATGGCTAGACACATTGGCAAATAGGAGCAGGTCTTTTGATTCCCACTCTAGTGTGTTCTCCATCAATGACAGGACTATAGAATGGTGCCCCTAAATGGAAAGAGACTACAGGACTGCTCAGAGAGGATGAAAAGCAAGCAAGGCTTCTGAAGAATCAAGAGGAATAACATGAACCTCTGGGCTCATAGAGGACATAGGGATGGCTGTTCTTGGTAATATTGGGGTAGCTGGGTGGGTAAAGAAACAATGTGACCAACTGCCCAATAATTATCTCTCATGTTTAAATAATACTTTGCAATTTCTAAAACACTTTCCCCACTAATGCCTCCCCGAGTTCCCATGTGAGGTAATCAGGGGTAATTATCCCCATCTCTTAGATGAGTTTCAGAGAACATAAGTGCAGTGATCAAGGTCACTTAGCCGAGCATGAAGCCAAGATTAGGACCATGAAAGGAACACTTGAAAGGCAAGATCACCGGCTGAGTGACTGGGAGTTGCATGAGTGCAGTGGGTGGGTGTGTATGGCTACGCCCCGGGTAGGTACACAGGAAAGAGGGTTACAAAGCCACACCGGTGTTTTGGGGCCAAGAATGTTTGCCCTTTGGATTGAATGGGGTTCAGGTCAGGGAATGTCTGGGTTTCAAAGCCCTGACTCACTTCCCCACTGGACTGAGATGGTTTCTTTCCTTTGAGTTTCCCCTTTTCCAGACCAAAAGGAGCCTGTTTTGGCCTGCCCTTGAAGTTGTTTCTTAAGTAATGTAAGCTGTTGGGTGTACTGGAGAGGGATGGTCTAATAAGAAAAGGCATTGATTAATTTATTCTTCAATGCCTGCTATGTGCCCAGGCCCAGGGAATAAAGAAATGTATAACAGCCCTGGCCCCTGTGGCTTAGTTGGTTGGAGCATCCACCGAAAGGTGGCAGTTTGATTCTCTGTCAGGCACATACCCGGGTTGTGGGTTTGATCCCTGGGCGGGATGCATGTAGGAAGCAGCTGGTCTATGTTTCTCTCTCACATCAATCTCTCCCTCCCTCCCTTCCTCTCTCTAAAGTCAATAAAAATTTAAAATTAAAAAAAGAAGAAATACATGACAGGCACCTGTCCTCATGCCACACAATGAATAGATAGATTCTATTTAGATACTCAGACATATAATTTCAGTAGAGCATAATGCTCTAATAGGGTTTTATGCACAACACTTCAGGAATGAACAAGACGGAGTGAATAACCAGCTGAGAGCAGGAAGGGGTGTCTCAGCAGAGAGTCTACAGGGATGACATTGGAGCTGTGTCTTAAAGGATATCAGAGTTCACCATGCAGATAAAAAGAGGAAGGGCATTCCTGCCTACGAAAACGGCATGAGCACAGGAGACAGGTGCAAGTGCAAGGCATGTTTTGAGAATGGCCCGTAGCTCAGTACCATGGGCTACAGGACACTGGGGAAAGCTGTGGTCAGATGGGACTAGAGGCAGGGTCAAAGGAGCTTAAATGATAATTAGAGAAGATGAGACTGTTCTATAGGCAACAGAGAACTTAGAGTGGAAAGATTTGTGGACTGGATACCTGTTTCTGATCCCAGCTCTACCCCTCCCAGGTTATGAGACATTAAGCAAGTGATTTCCTCTCTGGGGAGCCCTCTTCACTGTGTTTGAATGAGGGGGTTGCACCAATGACATGATTTTTAAGATCCCTTCTTGTTCAGATTTTATTCCTGCTTCTCCTTCCAACTATATGAAAAGATCCATTCCTGCAACTCTTCTCTCGTCCTTCGGCTCCCTAATCCGTGGTGGTGACAAGATCTCCAGAAGGATCAGTAGCAAAACTGTGCATCCCAGGAGTTGTCTCTGTATTCCCTACATGCTTTATGTGACTCCCCCCACTCTGCCTCTACCACATTTTCAGGCACTTAAGACACTCATTTTTAAGAGTAGCTGAAACAGAGCAATGGGTTAACCTAAAAAACCAATGGTGGTGGTTCACTTTCCCCCAGAAAAATCTAAAAGAAAATGTCACTAAGATACCCACTTAATCCTTTAGATCACAGCTGTATGCCTCCACCTCCAAGTTAGAGGTCAGGTGAGTTCAAGCACAGAACATTTAGGGAGAAACTGTTAATGTGCAGGAAATAGTAGCAATAGTCTGTGTAGGAAGAGAGTGTGTCTGGCTTGTTCAGGGACCTGGAGTAGGACTGGAGCAGAAAGGGCCATGAGAGAGGAGACTCTAAAGGAAGGTGAACTCCTCCAAAACTTACCACCTTGCCCCCTTACTGGATCCTCAATTAAGATGGGCGGGAATCTGTAGTGCAGGAAAAAGCAGTAGTCATGGAGCTAGAGGAGGCGATGCCCAGAACACAAGGAGGCTGTGTTTGGTGTGATATGCAGCTGAGATGTCAAGGAATGCTGGCATTAGTCGTAAAAAGAGCACCAAACAGCATTCCATGGGTCACTTTACCTACTGAGCTTCAGTTTCCCCATCTACAAAATGCAGGGGTTGGCCTAGAACAGCCGTGGGCAAACTACGGCCCGCCGGCTGGATCCGGCCCGTTCGGCTGTTCGATCTGGCCCGCGGAGCCAAAAGAGCAGAGGGTTCTCTTGCTCTCCCCTCCGCTCCTTCACCAGCAGCAGTGTTAACATGTATTAGTTCACACAGACACTCCATCCATGCTTTTGTTCCGGCCCTCCGGTCCAGTTTAAGAACCCATTGTGGCCCTCGAGTCAAAAAGTTTGCCCACCCCTGGCCTAGAATCATGCTGAGTGATCTTTCGGTTGTTGTTGTTAATCCTCACCTAAGGATTTCCCCCCTTTGATTTTTTTATTTTATTTATTTTATATGTTTATTGATTTCATAGATGAAGGGAGAGGGAGAGATAGAAATATCAATGATGAGAGAGAATCATTGATTGGCTGCCTCCTGCACACCCCCTACTGGGGATCAAGCCCACAACCGGAGCATATGCCCTTGACCGGAATTGATGCTCTATCCATTGAGCCAAACCAGCTAGGGTCCCTCCCCTCTTTGGTTATTCTAGAGAGAATGGAAGGGAGGGAGGGAGGGAGGGAGAAATAGGGGAAGGGAGAAACATTGATGTGAGAGACACACATTGATTGGTTGCCCCCTGCATGTGCCCCAGAGATCAAACCTGCAATCCAAGTACATGCCCTTGATTGGAAATTGAACCCATGATCCTTGGATGTGTGGGCTGATGCTCTAACCACTGAGCAACACCAGCCAGGGGTAACTGATCTTTAAAATCTCTTTCAGCTTGGTCAGTTCCTTCCTAACTGGCCTATCTCCTGAATTTTAAGTTAAAGACTCTGCAGGGCAATAGCTTTATCTCCCTTGTCATTATGAACTTCATAATCAGTGACTATCTTGGAGCCAAGGAGCTCGGAAAGAGGAACAAAACTGCAAATGTTGCCAACTGCCAGATCCCCAACTTGGGACCCACAGGCAGGTCAAAAAGAACCAACCTGTTCCTTTATCAGCTCTCTGCCTCTCCTGACCCAAAAGGACAGGATGTCCTTACACCTAGACCCTCTCCCCCACCCCAATCCAGCACATAAAAATCAGTAACTGTGACTTCTTTTCTTTTCCCATCAGACTACAAGCATCCAGGTCCACACAGAGAAGTCTTCTCACTGAATCTCACCTCAAAGCCTACCCTAATCCTCTGTCCCCACTTTCTGCATAGACTCTGTCTCCTCCTCAGACTATATTACCCCGGCAGGTGAACTATTAAGAGGAAAAATGAATAAATCAAGCAATTTGGTTCTCAGTTTCTCTAGGCTGGAATAGTAAGTGTAACTCAGTCCCAGGGCTCAGAATTTTAACTTGTGAGGAACAAGTCTGCAGCCTTCTCTATCTTGTGATTGGAGAGGCTCTAGAAAGCCCCCAAAGTGCTTTTCCCACCAGCCAATCTGATCTCCCATAATTTCACAGCGTGGTTTTGGATATTAGTGCTGGCCGGAACTATAATAAAACCCCTTCAATTTATAGATGCAGACAGAAGCCGGGGGCCCAGAAAAGGGAAGTCACATGCCCAAAGTCACACACACAATAGCTGAGCCAAGACAGCTCCTTGGGTTTCCATTTCCTTCCCTGTAAAAGGACGGACGTTAGCCTGGATGGACTCTGACGGCCCTGCCAACCTCTGTCCCACAAAAATAAAACCACCACCATGTCTGTGGAGTGTCTGGTGCCATTCACTAAGTAATTTTCTTTAATTTTCACAATGAGCTCTGCTACAGGTAGTGCTGATGCTGTTACCATGTGTATACCCAGTATATCCAAATAGGCTGTTGTGACTATCCTTTGTTCCTATGTAAAATATCAACCCAACTGCCAACTGCCATTCTACCACTTATATCATTCCCTTGGCTCTCCGGCCCTTCCAGTCTTTCAGAGGCTCCTGCTAAGACACCAGTACCCTGGTCCCTGAGCAGGAGTTCACATGTTAAACTGAGGTTCCTCAGGAAGTCACCCAGCTGAAACATTGTGGGCCTGGAGTTGGGGGACAGCAATCAGAGGTCCCTTGGCCACTGTACAGTTCCTGTAACTGTAACCCCAGGCTGGCCTGGCCCAGCTGCTGCAGGAAGGGGAGGAGAAGATGGAGGGGGGTCAAAGCCCACAGCAAGGCTATTGCACAACCCTTGGGGCCCAGCCTGGGGCGAGCCACCCTGGTTCTGAAGGTTTTTCTTTGTTCGCTTCCTTCCTTTTCTGCCCCCTCTCCCGCTTTCCAGTTCTGGCCTCCCAACTCCCGAAGTGAATACTGAGACCGCAAATGTGTCCAGAGATATCCTAAAGAGGCTGAGGGGCTGAGGAGCCCTAGGGCACCCAGAAGGAGATTCCTGAAGCCAACGTGGACCCAGAGGAATTTGCCGGGTATTTGGTGAGTCTTCCAAAGGACCCTTATCACTGGGTTTTCTGCCTTAAATCTCGCCCTCAATTCAGTCCACAGAGCAGGCAGAGTGTCCTCTCCACGCACAGATCTGGTCCTTTTAAATACCGTTTCATGACTATTCCCCAACTACAGATAAAGTTCTAGCTCTGCAGATCCGGGTTGCCCTCCCTCTGTCCTGTCAGTTAAAAGCCCCCTGTAAGAATATCTAAGAAAGCTGGTAACAGTGACTGCCCTGGGCCACTAGAAACAGGGAGACTTCCCCTTCATTGTATGTCCTGTGAGTCCATATTTACTTCTCAAAAATGAAAAATCAACTTTCATTTACATGGAAAATCATGTTTACATCAAAATATGTTTATAAAATCTTCTTCACCATAATAAAAGTATATGCTCAAGCAAGCCTGGAAGGAGGCAAGGCAGGGATGATAATCTTTTTTTTTTTAATTGTGGTAATAAAAAAACCACATAACATAAAATTGATCATGTTAACTATCTTTTAAGAGTACAGCTCGGTAGTGTTAACTATATCACATTGTTGTGCAGTAGTTTTCTAGAACTTTTTCACCTTGCAAAACTGAAACTCTATACCCACTGACCATCTCCTTATGTTAATCTTTTTGATAGATGAGAAAACTAAAGCCCAAATGGGGTGAGAAATTTATTCCTCTCAAAGTGGGCTCCTCCGGGCCCTTATACTGCCTGTCTGTTGTCTCCCTGTAAAACTGGCTGAGGCCCCTTCCTCCCTCAACCCTTGCATTAGCCATTTCCTCCCCAAATGCCTCTCACATCCACATCAGCCCCTGCCCCCACCTTGCCATTCCCTAAGCCCCAGCTCAGGACTGAGTGTCTTCCAGCTGAACTATTTCAAGACCCTTGTTGTCACGGGGTTTTCTGTCGTAAATCTCGCCCTCAATTCAGTCCACATAGCAGCCAGAGTGTCCTCTCCAAGCACAGATCTGGTCCTTGTATCCCCTTTTTAAATACTGTTTCATGGCTCTCCCCCAACTACACATAAAGTTCTAGATCTGCAGTCTGGCACTCAAGACCCTCCATGATCTGATTCAACCAGTATCTCCGTCCCCCCTCCTATCGTAGCCCTCCATACATCTCACACTCTAACCGCCTAATGCTCCTTTCCATTCTTTTAAACATTTTATGTGCTTTCTGGTTGTCATGCTTTTGTTCATCTGTTTCCTTTTCTTGCCTTTTCTCTTTCCTAGAAACCCTTCGAGGTCCACTGGAATGCCTCCATCACTGTGAACACTTTCCAAGTCCTGATCAAAATTCATCTCTTCTTCCTTAAGCCCCAGTAGACGCTGGCTTGTCCCCTGTATTATAAAGAGCTGGCAATGTGCCCACAGTACAGGGACTGGATCTGAGCTTACCCAAGAGTAAGCCTTCATAAATGATGACTGGCTGAATCATTAGTTGAGCCATTAATTTCATTGTGCTGTTCCTGATTTCCATTGGCCTATATGAGAGGAAAAGGCACAGATTTGTTGCCTAATAAGGGGGGTAGATAAGAACTTATGCCTCCTGGGTTTTAACTCAGCGAGCCCTTGTTCTTTACCCTTCTCCATCCAGATAAGGTAGCCCAAGTGCTATATAGGATGGGGCTCCGGAGGCCTTGTAGGAAATGTGGACCGGTCCTGGACTGAATTATTCAGATTCTTCTCCCCCCGACCACACACACAGCTTCTGCATTCTTAGAGTTGTTCATGAATTTTATCATAGTTCATGAATTTTACCGTCATCTTTTCTGGAAAAGAGACCTTATGGTTAATAATCAAGTTCGTTAACTTTGGTTGGTTGACAGCTCTACCTAGATAAAGGAGGGCTTCAGAACCAGTCAGTAACTCTTCAGTGCTTGGACTATGGAGAAGTCCCTGACCTGGCCATCTTTACTCAAGACTATTGAGGAAAGGAGAACACCCAGCCAGTCTCAGGTTAGAGCACCAGGGAAGGAGAATTCCCAGGAAATCTCAGGATAGCCCCATAGATGTAGGGGAGACACAGCTCTGCTGACCAGGAGCATGTGGTTTGCTGATACCTTTATCAATAACCAGAGAACAGCCACACAACGCCTTATATGTAAGTGCTGGGCAAAGGGAAGGCTGTTCTGATAAAGCTTGTGGAGTATGGTTAAGGGGTGGGGAATACTCAGTGAAGGTTTCCAGAAGGAAGTGGGTGTAGAACCTTGTTTAAAGGGAATGACATCGTTTTTTAGAGACTAGGACAAAAGGCTGTCTTCGAATGGTTTTCTATATTATAGATTAAGGGTCTCCAGAAGAAGGAAAAGGAATATTTACCATCACCTATCATATGCCGGGTATGCAGTGACTATGTCAGAAGACAGGATAGTTGAGGTGCTGTGTCTTCTCTCTCTTGGGGGCAGGTAAAACCCCAAACCAGACTGAGTGCCCCTGTCGCTCCCCATCCTCCAGCCCAACCCTATTCTCTTCTCCAGTGCCTGCAGGGGTTATCAGCCTCTCCCTGCTTCCCCAGCCATTCCTTTCCAATAGAATTTCCTACAGAATCCTTCTCAGCAAAATCCTAACTAGGTAGGAATACCCAAAGTGCTTGGGACATAGGATGCTTGAGAGATCAAATGACCCAGCTTCTGGTTCTAGGTAAGGTGAAATCTAAGCCATCTCCAAACATCTCGGTGGTACCTGTGGAGTATAAAAAAGAACTGTGCTCAAGGAGAGTCCTGAGGAAAACTTCCAGTAATGCCACACAGTCCTGCCAAGAGCTGGCATGAGAGTCGAGAAACTCCAACTAGCCATCAAAAAGCAGGACTCGGTCTAAACTCTACCTCTGAATATTCTCTGGGATCATGGTCAAGCCACTTATTCTCTCTGTTTCTATGTATGTATGTATGTGTAACAGAGTTAGATCAAATAATCCCTAAATTTCTTCTAGCCTAAAGCTCAGTGACTTACAGAATAAAAATAAAAACAAAAAAAGACAGATGGGTTGCAATGGCCAAGGAAGGCTTTATTCCACAGGTACTTATTGAGCATCTATTGAGTGCTGTCATGAGGGCTTGTATATAGCAGTGAGTAAAACATAGTCCCTGCCTTCATGGAGCTTGCAGTGTAGTGGCGAAACAGACAAGTAAACAAATAGAATAAACGGTGATGTTGGGATTTTAGCTGGGGTCTGAAGGAGTGAGATCAGTCAAACTGCAGGTAATGGAAACCATCCTTCCTTTTTCTGTTGCCACCAGAGTGTCCTCCAATTCTTCCCCACCCGAATCCCTGTTGCGATGGAGACCGCCAATGGGACTGAGACCTGGTATCACAGTCTGCATGCTGTTCTGAAGGCTCTAAATGCCACTCTTCACAGCAACCTGCTCTGCCGGCCAGGGCCAGACAACCTGACTGAGGAGCGGCGGGCTAACCTTCCTGGCCGCGACGACAACTCCTACATGTACATTCTCTTCGTCATGTTCCTATTTGCTGCCACTGTGGGCAGTCTCATCCTGGGATACACCCGCTCCCGCAAAGTGGACAAGCGCAGTGATCCCTACCACGTGTACATCAAGAACCGTGTGACTGTGATCTGATGTGAGGAACCGGGGTGGCTGAAGATCAAGACAGCTGGGGAGCCGAAACCGGTTTGGCTCAGTGGATAGAGCATCGGCCTGCGGACTGAAGGGTCCCGGGTTCGATTCCGGTCAAGGGCATGTACCTGGGTTGCGGGCACATCCCCAGTGGGAGATGTGCAGGAGGCAGCTGATCGATGTTTCTCTCTCATCGATGTTTCTAACTTTCTATCTCTTTCCCTTCCTCTCTGTGAAAAATCAATAAAATATATTTTTAAAAAAAAAAAAAGACAGCTGGGGATTGTCTTCTGAGGCCTCCAGAACGCAGCCACGGATCACATCAGGCCTCTGTTCCTTTCTGTAAGATCAACAAGAAACGGTGCTAGGGGATGCCATCACTGGGCTGGGAGGAGAGGGGCCTTGTGGAACAGGACTTTTTTCCATCGAAGATAGACTTGATAGGCAGTGGGAACTATGGACAGTCATATAGAAGTAGCAAAAGATAATAACCAATGACTGGTCCTGTGGCTGGAGTATTGGGGGCTGGGAGTTTTGGACTTGAGGAAGGGGAAAAGGAAGTTGTAGCAGAGGGTAATAAAACAAGAAGATGTACTGAGGACACATTTTTGTGTGTGTTATCTTCAGTGACCATGAGAAGCAGCAATTATTATCCCATATTACAGATAGCACAATGTTACTTACTTATTTTTGTTCACATTTTATGTTTTTCAACCCATTTAACATTTGTGATTTTACCCCCCTGTGAGGGAAGCATGCTGTCCATTTGGGCCAGAGCAGTGCCATGAGTGGAAGTCAGAAACTCTGATCTCCTTGCCCAGTGCTTCTCAAAGCACTGTGCTACACAGGAGTGGTCAAAGCCTAAAAGTCAGTCACACAATTCTGGGGGCCCTCCTTAAAAAGAATTCAAAATTATCCTACTTATGCAATTATTACAAAAGTATATTACCACTAGAGGCCCAGTGCATGAAATTCGTGCACTCAAGGGGCGAGGGGCGGGGCAGGGGAGGGAGGGTCCCTCAGGTGGCCTGCGCCCTCTCGCAGTCCGGGAGCCCTTGGGCTGGGGGGGTGGGCCCGGGGGGGGGGGGGTGGTCCAACTGACATCCTTAGCGCTGCCACGGAGGCAGGAGAGGCTCCCGCCACTGCTGCTGCACTCGCCAGCCACAAGTCTGGCTTCTGGCTGAGCAGCGCTCCCCCTATGGGAGTGCACTGACCACCAGGGGGCAGCTCCTGCATTGAGCATCTGCCCCTGGTGATCAGTGCTCATCATAGTGACCGGTTCCACAGTTTGGTCGATATTCATATTAGCCTTTTACTATATAGGATGTTAAAACATTCCTAGGACCCCTCCTGAGACCTAAGAAGGAGCCATGCGTGCACAGGGCTCTGAATGTTAAGCCTCATTAGCTCCATGGTTCATGTGCCTCTCAGGCCATGTCACGGTGGTGCCCTTCCCAGCCACAACTCCAGCATTGCGGTTTCACTACCTCTAACGCAGCCTCTTCCATTTTGATTGAGTTATGTGAGAGATTTTCTGATACCCAGTTGAAATCTGCTTCTACAAGATTATTACCACACCTGGAAAGTTATCCTATTAAAAGAAGCAGGGTGTGCAAGGCCGATGCCTGGTTCAGTGGAAAGAGAACCAGCCCTGATTCTACCACTAATGTGATATGTGACACTGGCTGGACACTTCTCTCTCTGACCCTTTTTCCTCTTCAGCACTGAAGTGAAACTGTTAGACTTGCAAGTCTCTAAGAGCTTTACCAGTTCTGACATCCTAGGCTTCATGTACAGTAGATTGAACCATATAAAACTGCTGTGGTTCTGAGCCCAAAGCAGCCGAATATCAGCAGGTGAATACTTTACAAGCTACAAACCACAGGCTAGCACCTTCCACTGTTTGGTCTGATTCTATTTAAGAAATCTCCAGGGGGGCCTCCAAAAGGCCCTATTGAAACATACGTTTTCATGTATAGCAAAAACCTGAAAGACTATTTTGATATCAGTTTTCTTTGAGGAGAAGGATTATGGGTGATGCTCCCTTTAAAATTTTATGTACTATTTGTTTTATTTGACCATAAGTATGTTACTTCTATAATAAGGGAGAGGGGCTCCTTCTATTTTGAAAAAATAGAAATAAATGCCTATGTGTTTCTCTTTTTTATTGCTGACACTATTACAGATGTCCCTATTTTGCCCCCTTCCTCCCTCTCCACCCTTCACCACACCCTTCACCACACTGTTGTCTGTTTCCATGGGCTATGCATATGTGCATATATGTTAATGCCTATGTGTTTCTTGCATGGAGGATCACCGAACATGTTTGCTCCCACGAGCAATTATGTCCACTCCCTGAAAATCTGTGCTAAACCCATATGTGCTCAAGCCTTCCCTTACCTCTTCTTGAGGGAGAAGGTGGAGACCTACTGAAGATGTGGCATATGGGAAAATAACAGACTCAAAGTCTATAGCTGGATGGGACTTTAAAGACCACCCAGCCCCAAATCCCAATAAAATATGGAATGGCAGTCAAGTGTAAGAATGAATGGGCCTAACCGGTTTGGCTCAGTGGATATAGCATCGGCCTGCGGACTGAAAGGTCCCAGGTTCGATTCCGGTCAGGGGCATGTACCTGGGTTGTGGGCACATCCCCAGTAGGTGTGCAGGAGGCAGCTGATCGATGTTTCTCTCTCATCGATGTTTCTAACTCTCTATCCCTCTCCCTTCCTCTCTGTAAAAAATCAATAAAATATATTTTAAAAAAAAGAATGAATGGGCAGGTGATAGATGCTTACAGAGTTTTGAGAAATGAGATTGAGTAGATCTAGGAGTCAGAGAAAGGTAGAATTTGAACTAGGCTTTGAAAGATAGGGCAGAGTGAGTGAAGGGAACAAGACAAGGGAAGCTTAGAGACAGAAATGGGGCAAGGCCACCCCTGAAGAGAGAAGGCAGGCCCAGTATGGCTGCTCTGAATTTCAGTCCCCATCCAGGGAGGAGACTCCCCTTCACACAGCCTTTATACTCATAGGGCTTAATTAATAAAATAATACAAAGTCTTTTGTGTGCAAGTTGCAGAAACCCAATATATATTAGCATAATCACAAAGGAGGATTTATTAAGAGGAGTAGGGGGTCGTCACAAGTTCAAAGAAAGGCTGCAGACAGTAAGGCAATTCCAGGGATCTCCTGGCCTAAAACTACTTACTTGTCTGAATTCACAAAGTAGGGGCTCAGTATATCTCACACTCCCAGGGTGGGACTAAATAAAATTCTAGGAGTTTAAGGTGGTATAATGTGAACACTCTAATAGTCTATGACATAGTTAGTCCCCTCAGCCCTCCCACCCTCTATCCTACCCCAATTGTCTGGGAGTGCTATCCCACTCTTCCCTCAGCCCACAGGCTCTTTTGTCTGCACTGAGTCTGCCCTCTGCTGGCCAGATCCAGCATATCACTTTGAGCCCTCAAAGCCAAATTTCAGTAATTACTCATTCAACAGATACTTAATGAATGCCTACTATGTGCCAAGCTCTCATTTAGGCACACACGGGATACATAAGAAAAAAGATCAAAGAAACCTCCACCCAACAGATAAGAGCATTTTCTACATGTGAGGCAGTGGTCTTAACATTTTACACACATTAACTCGCTTACCTTTTAAAACCTTCATAACAACCCTATTTAGTCGATGCCTTACAATTACTTCAATAAAACCCACTTGTTCTTCATCTAGCCCCTTCAGTATCTCCAACCCAGTATCCACATGTTGGCACACCCAGCCCAGAGCGTGGATCTGAACAGTCCCCAGAAATGAATGGGAAGTGATTTTGGGGAAATGATGGCAGAGTATTGGCACCAGTAGACTGAAGTTGGAAGAAGAGATTGAGATAGGCATCTATTGAGGGAGCACTTTTCAGGGAGAACCTGCAAGGGAGAGAGTGAGGTAGAAAGGAAAGGGGAAAAGCCAAATAAGGTGTTGTCTCAGGTCATGACTACCACTGGCCTGATCGACAGGGAGCTGTTAGACATGGCTGGGGCATAAACCACATGACAGGATTACACCCCCTTGAGTTAAGGGGGCAGGCCTTTGATGCCCCCATATCAGTCAGTCATTGGTTGAGGCCCATCCATGTAGGGAGCAAGGACAAGTGGAGGGTTGTGAGGAGGTTCCATCAGCTGAGGGCAGTTTTCTGGAGAAGGGTGGAACCTGTGAGCTAGTGCAGGCTAGAGTAGTGGGAGAAAGCTAAGCAAGGAAGTTGTCTTGACTGGAGATTAACAACAGCCTGGTTCTTCAGGAAGATTATAAAGCTCTATTTCCATCACAGAATTGGCTCCATCTTTTGTGACTATCTTCTTCTACCCCATGGCAGTCAACATTGGCTGCTGGCCGCCAGGGGAAGCAATTAACCTCCTAGGAGGCTCACATTTGGCTGAGGCCAAGTCTTTGGAGAAGGGGCATCTCTGGGCTGATGGCAACCAAAACAGCAGCTGGGGAAATGGGTCTGCGTGGGGCTCTGTCAGCATGTACTACATCTGTGATTTGGGGGAAGTGAGCAGAAGCAAGAGTGTCACATCTTGAGAGATCCTGCTAGTTTAACAGACAAGAGCACACACCAAAAAAAACCCAAAAAAACAAAAACAAACAAAAAAACACACAAGATAACACCTAAGCAATAAAAACATAGTTAAAAAAAAGAACTGGTAGGATTTGATTTGAATGCTCTATTCAGTCATTCAGGGACTCAGAATAATGATTACTGTCCTCAACATGTAGCTTCCAAGTTTACTATGGTGTAAACCAGTGATGGCGAACCTTTTGAGCTCAGCGTGTCAGCATTTTGAAAAACCTAACTTAACTCTGGTGCCGTGTCACATAAAGAAATTTTTTTATATTTGCAACCATAGTAAAACAAAGACTTATATTTTTGATATTTATTTTATATATTTAAATGCCATTTAGCAAAGAAAAATCAACCAAAAAAAGGAGTTCGCGTGTCACCTCTGACATGCGTGTCATAGGTTCGCCATCACTGGTGTAAACATTTCTTTCTCTTTTTTTTCTTATATTTTTATTGATTTCAGAGAGGAAGGGAGAGGGAGAGGGAGAGAAAGATAGAAACATCAATGATGAGAGAGAATTATTGATTGGCCGCC